TTCAGATGTATTTCCAAGAAAAAAATATCGTCTTATATTCGGGACAATACGGTAATTAAAATGCGCCCATCCATAAAAAAAAAAGTGTCTCACACGGCTCTGGGGGGGTGAACAAAGGCCTCCTGTAGCGAATCTATGCGTTTTTGTAAGAAAAATATCCATATTTAAAACGTAATAATCACTTTAATGTAGCTTGGTATAATGTAGGTCAGCTTTGCACATGCGCCGCTCAGAAGTGACAAACGTGGAAACGCAGCGGAGAGATCTAAACAAAACAACGGTCACGAATTATAAGTACAAAACGAGGATTTGTAAAGATGAATGTCAGAGGATTTCGATATAAGCCAAGAGGAGACTGGCTTTCCTTTGCTAAAGTAAGGAAACTTTGCTTCCTTTGATCCTGTTAGCAAACGTTGGTTTTCACGAGACTCACCGGCGCATGCGCAACGCCGACATCATAGGACAGACGCCCGGAACTGCTTTCGTTTACAACAGTGAGATAAAGCTAGATTCAAGTGATTATTACGTTTTGAATATGGATATTTTTCTTACAAAAACGCATCGATTCGCTACAGGAGGCCTTTATTCACCCCCCGGAGCTGTGTGAGGCACTTTTTTATGGATGGGCGCTTTTTATTTAACTTCTTTTGGACTGATGCACTGCAACACCCGCTGACTGCAATGATAGAGCTTGGAATAGCCGGGACAATTTTTAATATAACTCCGACTGGATTCGTCTGAAAGAAGAAAGTCATATACACCTAGGATGACTTGAGGGTGAGTAAAACACAGCCTAATTTTCATTTTTGGGTGAACTAACCCTTTAAGTGATCTTAAATCTTTACAGGATAAACCAGTCATCTGTCTAGCCAATCAGAATGGGTCACAAGCCGATTGTGAACTTGGAAATCCATTCAAAAGAGATGCTGAGGTGAATATTTAAAGTATATTAGACAATATAATAGTATTTATTTTTATTTTTATCGCTATTGTTATTTTATGGTATTATAATAGAAAAGCTCTATTTTTGGTGTGTGGACTTACTTTTGAAAAAAAAAAAACTTTTTTAGACAACTTTTTACATCATTCTGAACACGGGTGGAATTTCTTTGGATACCACTGAAATTGAAATTGACCTTAAACTCAAAACGTGAGTAGCAACATAACTCTTGCCAAAGGCACAGTATCAGTTTAGTATTTTCTTTTGTTTTAAGCATGTCAGAATTCATAGATTCATGTTTCCATTTTTCGTTTTGTTAATTGCAGGACAAGTGATCAGAAGCAGTTACAAGCAATCAAAGCCAAAGCCATTGTTAAGATCCAGCTGCTGTTGTCCCTCTCAGGGTAGGTTTGCAAACTGCACTATAATTTCCCATATTCTGATGATGATAATATCAACGACCTATATTTGTATCTTCATGCACTGTCATCATGTATCATCTACAGCATTGCTAAGCCATCTCAGCTCTACTTTACTGGAGGAGTTAAAGGAGAGAGTGCAATGAAGTTGGCATCTGATGTCGGCAGTCCAATTGACTATGAATTCAGGGTGACCATTAGAGTTCCTAACATTTTGTAAATAAAGCATACATTTTACATGTACAATACTTCCTTTGGTTTGTTTATACAATATTTATTTATTTGCATTCTAACTATCTTACATGTCACAATATTTAGAGGCTTTTTAAAAAGATGGATCCTGTTAAATATATTGATTTACAGGTTACAAACTTGGGCAAACCCCTTAAATCATTTGGCACGGCTTCTATGATTATCCAATGGCCTAAGCATACCTCTCAAGGCAAGTGGCTGCTGTACCTCATGAAGATGACCTCAACCGGTTTAGACAGCTTCATCTGCTCCAATCAAGATGAAGTCAACAAACTCGGTTTAAAGGTAGTCCTAGTCAAAATTTGTATTATTCCAAGTTGCATCCATATAGAAATGAACTGATTATTTGTTCTGTTTTACGGTTATCTAGGAGCCTTCAGTGTCACGAACTAAACGTGAAATTGGGGAAACTCCTGCAAAAGAGGGAACAGTCTCTCTTTTTACTGACAAGAGGAAATACACAGTTTTGGTAAAGTCACCCAAACATGAAGCATACTGTGCATTCAGAAAGTATTCAGACTAATAGTCTAATTTTTAACATCACTACACTAAATACCCCACAATGAGTTATAACTTAGCAAATATTTTCAAAAGGAAAAACTGAAATATCACATTGACAGAAGTATTCAGATCCTCAAAACAATAAGTAAAAGCATTTTAGCTTAAGGCTGCAAAACTAAAGTCTGAATATGCCCTGTGTGTGTTTCCTTGGGCGTCTTGTTTCTAATCACTGTCTTCTTGTTGTGTTTTTAGTCGTGTGAGGATGGGGCGGAGTGCATCACATTCAAATGTCATCTAACGGGAATGGACAGCAATGCTGTCATCAGCCTGAGAGCTTACCTTTGGAACTCTACCTTCCTGGAGGTGAGTGTGATCATTCAGTAGGATGTTTTTTTTTTAATGGCATAATCTATTAAATGTATTAATAATAAATTATTATTACTTCTTTAAAAAATAATATTTTAACAAAACTGCTTGACTGCTTATTAATATAAGAAAAAAAGTGAGTGTGTCAAGGTAAAAATGTCATGTAGTAGGATTAATAATTGATGAAATCCATAAAAATACTTTGCAAACTGTGTTTAAAAACCTTTTCATCATCATATGAGATGTGTTCACTCATATGCATTACATTTTTCTTGAAAATGACAACATATGAAACCAACAAAATTACAGATAGAATGTTTCTAATAACTTGGCAGAGGTGTTATAAAGTAGAACCGTCTCATTCTTTAAAAATAAATATTTTCCCTTTTCTTTATCATGGACACTATATCATGTCATAAAACTATTAATAAACTATTTCTTACAGGACTATGCAAAATTGAACTACATTGACATTATTGTCAAGGCATCACTTGATTTCAAGACCTCAGCTACAAATATACAGCTGAAAAATGAGCCAGCACAGGTGAGGACATTTCAGCTTTTATCCATATATACTTCTCCTTCCATGTTTTGATCAGTTTGTCTTCTCTATCAAACTGACTTTATATGCAGGGTTGAAAACTCAGCTTGAGACGATAAGTGCATTTTGAAAGACAGTTTGTCCTGTTACAGGCACGCGTTACTGTGTTTCCCGAACGCAAAGTTGCGCAGTATGGCGGTATGCCCTGGTGGGTCATACTGGTGGCCATTTTACTAGGACTCCTTTTGCTGGGCCTTTTGGTGTTCTTGCTTTGGAAGGTAAGAACATATAACTAAACTCACAACCACACCCAACCAGGACTACCTAACCCTGTATTTACTGTCACTTTTATTAAAACAGATTTTCATCATTCTGTACTATTCACATGACTTTAAGTATTTAAAACACAAACCTTTACCCCTTTTAGTGTGGTTTTTTCGGCAAAAGCGACAAAGAACCTGAAAAAGAGAGGCTGACTTCAGATGCGTAAAGAGAAACAGAGAACGAGAACCTTTCTTAGGGTAAAAGATCTCACAGATCAAGTTGATCTGCGTGCTCAGAGCTAGCATGAAGAGCTGGATCAGCCCTAGCTTGAGTCTGACGCACATGCTGCCTGTCAATGCCTAGATGTGGGGTGATGGTGGCAGTTTCCATGGCTTTCATTGCTCAGACATAAGCAAAATGCTATGAGGAATGCAAACTAATCATGTATGAAGTTGTTGTTGGAAAAGAGTTTATACATGTTTGCATTCACTCAGCTTTCAAGTGCGTGTGACTGTGTATGACTGAGATTTAGCTTGATTTAGAAACTTGTACTTTTCTCTGGCCTGCTTGGGATGTTTATCGGAGCAACTCTCGCTTTCGGCACATACAGTTCTTTATACGGCCCGATTCTTGCTTATATCATCTTTAAACCATTTAATGTTTCGTTCTTTCCTCATGCTAGGCATGCTGCACACACTGCAAACAACACTACGTCTGTGTTTTTTGCTCATTTTCCTGTATAAATGATGCTGTTTAGCATTGTTAGCATGAACTTGCGCTAATTGTCTTTTTGTTTCTGAACAGTGTGGATTTTTCAAACGTTCCAAGTATGACGAAAGCGTCCCCAGTTATAATGCTGTGCGGATAAAGAGGGAAGAGAGGGGAAAAGAGCCGGGGAAAGAGGAAATGGATCCTCCGGAGAAGAAACAATGGATGACTTCTTGGAATGAGAATGAGAGCTACTCATAGCTAAATGCTAACCTGATTGAAAGCAAACCAAAGACTCCCTTCCTGAAGCCTTTAATGCTTATTTTTGCACACACTGAACTTTTCTTACTGTTACTACTCCATCAAAATGTGTAAGGAATCATTTGAGCTTGATAGAGGTTTTTAGAGATTGTATTACAAAATGGTGTCTGTCTGGAAGACATATGATGAACAAGGATAAAAAAAATAGGTTTACTTCAGTTTTGTTTTATATTAAAATTTGCTTCCATGTTCCACCCCGTTTTCATATCACAATTCACTTCTCATGCACACAGTAATGTATATACATTTAATGTATTTATTCACAGCAGATGGTTCTTTTGTACAAAGGCCAAAGATTTTAAATTTTTGTTTTGTTTTATGAATGGTTTGTGTCGGGGACTTCTTGGTTCGTTTTTTTCTTATCTTGATATCCAGCTAAAACTGCTTAGATGAATGTAAATATGTGTCTGGATTTTTTTATTTGTTGTTTTATTGTTAAAACCATTCAGGTACATATTTTATTTTCATACACGTTTTTTCCCCACTGTACTTAAACTACTAAAACTGGGACTGATTTATTAAGAATTACTTTGTTATAAATAGATGTTTGATATATTATCGGCTGCCACAATCCATTGTAAGATCAGCTTGTTCTTTTAATTTTTGAAGGTCATTTGAAATTATCTTTGTATGAATGTGAAGTTGCTTTAATTTTTTAAAACAGCACCTTTTGGCAATGCAAATGCTCAAATAATGAAAAGTATTCATTCTGTTTATGTGTAAAGTGACTTGTTGAATTGGTCAGTGGTGATGTCTGAATTTTAGCTACTTAAATTTATTAGCTCACACAAAATTGAGACTGAATTAATGAAATTGATTATTAGATATTTGGATATTAATTAGACATAAAAAAATTTTGCTGGACCTAAATTGATGAGGTACACATTTTTTAATTAAACAACTTGTTTTGGGGGTTTTGCAAAACACAAAATTTGTCACTGCCAAAACTTTTGGCCATGACTGTAGACTTGTGAGGTAGACAGGCACAGAAACTGATGCAGGTGACACAGACCAAGACTCATACTGAGGCATTCATTCAGACTGAGACAGATGCAGCAGCCGTAGTGAATGCCCTCCACTCTGTCTTACCAAGTCACCAATATCACAAGCTCAAGCTAGTGAAACATGTTCTGCTTTTATCAGAAACTCAACTATTTAATTTTCTCATAAAATAGTGACGCCATTAAATAAAATGTTGAGTTTTGTGCATATTAGTGTATAAGCATGTGTATTAGCTTTAAGGCAAGCAATATGCTAGTGTACGTATGTATGGACTAAAGGCTATCACACAAACGCACACTAAAAATGTAAGTTGTGAACAGATTATTGGAGTGCGTTTTACAAGAAAATACTGTATCAGTCTCTCTGCTTAAAAATTTCACATGTAGCTAATGTAATTAATTCACATGTAATGCATGTACATTTTAATAATGAAATAATTTAATCTTTTTTCATTATGTCACTACATTTAAAACAATAACATACTATGTCAAATAAATTTTTTAAGTTTTATAGATTGAAAACCTGGAAAGGCTTATTTATAAACTGAAAGGTTACTGGGATCCTACATCAATAGTACCTCTACCAACCTGCACAAGATAAAGTATCAAATAATAAGGCTAAGTCAATAAAGCATTTTCACATGTCGATATGAAATCACATAAAGTAGATCGCTAAGCTGACGCAAAACATCTGAATCAAAATGTCAGGTGTGCTTTGAAAGATAATTTAATTTACAGTTCATGAAATATCTTTGCAGCTACACGTGTCATAAGGTACAAACAAATGTCCCAGACATTTATTAAAAAAGACATAATAAAATTATATAATTGTAAAATATTTATTTATTAATACACATGTAAAATCATCATTTGTGACATAGAAGACAATGAATTACTCTCCTCTCTGCAGTAAAATGTACATTACTATGAGTTATGTACAGTAGACATAAAAAAAGGTGATTCTTTCCAAAAAAGAAAAGTCCAGGGTGGTGAAGTGCTCACTTAAAAGTGCACACTAGGAGAGGGAGCCGAAGCTTACCTGATGTGCTCTATTAACCCTGGGAATGTGTGCACATCACATGAGACATTCACACGTGGATTGTTAGTTCACTTTTGGCTAAAGTGCAGAGTGTGCACTAGCAGTTTGGCTCATGATAGTTTGCCGGTTAAATCTAAAGAACGAGATTAACAATCTCGGCATCTTTACTGACTGGCAGATATTTAACATCGGTGCCCTCTGGTGGACAGCTGTAAAATAGTTTTTAGTACCATGTGCAGCATCTTATAACACTCAACACTCATAGCCCTCAAGCAAATCAGTTAAAGGCAATGAAATATCCTTTCTGGATAATTAGATTAAGTTCCCATTTTCTCAAAGTGCCATTATGCATGTTGAATGTCAGTGTGATGGACAGGAATCAATTCTTTAACTCCTGGGTTGTGTCAAAATGAGATATTAATAACAAGCTTATCAAAGACACATTTACAGTAATATGTGTTCTGTCAGGCTTTACTGGCAGAAAACCTCTGGTATTTTGATGTGTTCACCCATGTTGTTACTTTCTCAGCAGTCTACAAATCATCTGTGTGTGTGAGACAGTCTACTCCATTTCTATCAGCACAAATTATCATTCCTTGGGACGGTGAGCGTGCACATTTGCAGCCCTTGACATTGTTACTACCTCAGCAGGCTGATTCAAGGTTCGTTGGTTGGCAGCTTTTAATCTTGGCCTCTTTCTCTCTCCCCCTTTCTTTTTCTTTTTTTACTTGCTGCTTTTCAAGTTTTTCCTGAGCCTTCTTCATGTCTTTTAATCTCCTTTTAATAGTGGAGCGATCTCTTTGACTAGAAATGCCAAGCTCCTGGAAGACACATATTTCAGTGTAACATTCTTTAAATCAATACTACAACCCAAAATTAATCAAAAAACACATGGACCAACCTTAAGTTTACTGCTGTCCAGGCACAAGAGATGTTGGCCATCCACACCTTTAGCTGTGAACTCAGCTATATACTGTTCCATATTCATGCCCATCAACCAGTGGCAGATCTGCTGATTGGTCCACTCGGAAAGTGGGCGGTTCTGCCACATGTACTGCTTTGCCGCTGGAAGAGGGCCATCATCAAGGGTCTGAAAACAAGAGCATTTTATAATGTAGTTATGTCAGAACTTGTGTGGAAGACTGCAATACACCATTCTCCCATGCAAAGAATGCTAACCCACATATGCTTGGCATATTTCACGCAAACTGCCTTTTAATTTTGTGTGCCTGAATTAAAAGCGCCTGTTTACAGATCAACAGACTCCTACCAGGGCAGACAAAATCTGGAGCACACTTACGAAATCAGGTCAGAAGCAGAGGAAGACATCAAGAAAGGAGGCAAGACTAAGACAGACTAAAATATGAAAGGAGATGTTCTGAAAAATGTTGTCGTAGCTCTTTTCAATAAAATATAGTGACCAGGGTCTGCTAAGCTCCAGAACGAAAAACAAAAAAGCACCATTCGGTCATAAAAGTAGAAGAATCTTCTTAAATCTTCTTAAGTTTTTAGTACATTAACGTGTTTATCAGATGCTTTTCGCCAAAGTGACTTACAATAGAGGAACAATAAATTTGTCAATAACGTTTATTTATTCTTTCATCTTTTCATATTTTTGCCTTTTTAAGGATTTTGTTAAGGCAAAACACTGACAAAACAAAAATAATTTTGTTGAGATTTACTTTGCACATTTATTTAATTTCATATATAGATATGAAAGTGATAAGTATGAAAGATATAGGTGAGAAATGTAGTTTCTCACATAAAACTACAGTATTGTATGGCTTCAGAAGGCTTGTAAATGAATATAGTGTGTGAGTCATAAACTATTTTTATGAGACTTTCATGGTGCTTTTTTGAACATTTTGGAGTTGAACATCTCATAAAATGCTCCTAAAAGAGCAGAGAACATTTCCTTTTGTGTTCCTTGAAGAATGTAAGTCATACAGGTTTGTAAGGATATGAGGGGGGGATAAGTAATGATTGTTTTTTTTATTATAAACTATTCCTTTAATATTGAGCCACTGACACACCCAACACAACTTGTGAAATAATGTTACCTGTGGCAACATCTTACCAACAGGGCGTAGGAAGGCTGTTGCAATCATTTGGGAAATTCCACATACCGTGCACATAAAAAATGACACTGGAGAGCTGCCTCACTCACAACCACACCCATATACTCCATATGGATAACAGAATTCACTGCGGAAAGATCCTAACCATAGGCAGGAAGCACAGAATGAACAGCCTGGATGTTTTAAGAGGGGAGAAACTTGCTCTCCTGTGCCTCACTATGCACAGATGGAAGAGCCTAAAAGTCACATTTACTTGTGTGCCTGATGAAATTTCACAAGTGAAATCCAGTCATTTCAATAGGAATCCATGCAACTGGGAGTTTCATGTGAGGGCAAAAAAGTTCACACAGATTTCACTAGTGTTCAAGTTGGCCACGCATATTCGCCGCATTGACCAAAAGAAAGCTGTTTGGTTTGAAAATGACTTGCTGAAATTTTACAGAATGACATGCATGCTGAACTATCACCTCTTTCTCAAAGCTATGAGTATGATCTCATTCTTTCCATTCCTCCCTCACGACGCACACATTCCACCGGCGATACTTGCTCTCCTCTTCAAAACACCTCACAAACCAAAAGTTCACATTCAGGGCTGATCAAATATATACATATGATGAATGCTAACCATTAACTACAGGAAAAGCTCATGCAGTGGTGACCCCACGGCCTCTCACCTCACAGGAGGAGAAGGTATGTGTGTGCGAGCGCCCGAGGAGACGGGGCTCTTTGAGTAACCCTGCCAACACAGAGCGAGGGCTACCTGCGATCGAATCATCCGTAACAGACAAGCTCTGTAACAAGTAGAACACGGGGACATAAACATATAAACATACACAAACAGACACATAAACAATTACTCACAAACAGTTTTCACAGATACAGTATTTATAGGAGGATGCTTGGAATGCTATTTAGCATGCACCTTTAAAGCAGATAATGCTAATGGCTTAAAGGGATAGTTCACCCAAAAATGAAAATTCTGTCATTAATTACTCACCCTCATGTCGTTCCAAACCCATAAGACCTTCGTTCATCTTCGGAACACAAATTAAGATATTTTTGATGAAATGTGAGAGCTCTCAGATCCTGCATAGACAGCAACACAACTGTAATGTTCCCAGGTTCAGAAACGTAGTAAGGACATCGGTAAAACAGTCCATGTGACATCAGTGGCTCAACTTCAGTTTTGCGAAGCTACGAGAATACTTTGAGCGCAAAGAAAACAAAAATAACAATTTATTTAACAATTTTTCTCCCCCGAGTTACGTCTTCCGCCATTTTAGAAAGTATCACAAAGCATACGCACGCTTTCCCCCCAGCGTAAACAACGCTGATTACGCAGATTACATTCATGCGCGTGTTTTCTCCCCCGAACGTAAACAACACTGATTACGTCGATAACGTTCTTGGGTGCTCTCCAAAATGGTGGAAGACGTAACTCGGGGGAGAAGAATTGTTAAATAAATTGTTATTTTTGTTTTCTTTGCACTCAAAAAGTATTCTCGTAGCTTCGCATTACCGATGTCCTTACTACGTTTCTGGACCTGGGTACATTACAGTTGTGTTGCTGTCTATGCAGGATCTGAGAGCTCTCACATTTCATCAAAAATATCTTAATTTGTGTTCCGAAGATGAACGAAGGTCTTACGGGTTTGGAACGACATGAGGGTGAGTAATTAATGACAGAATTTTCATTTTGGGGTGAACTATCCCTTTAAGGGCCACTAAATGTGTAATATCAATGCAAACATCTAATCAAGTCCTCAACGTTCAGGCTAAGACTGAGAGTTTTGGTGTACAAGATCATTCAAAATAATGAAAAAACTTTTAAAAAATAGTTTACGTGCAAAGTTCATAGAAATGCATTATGTACATTTAATGATATCAATGTTGCAACAAAGTAAAAAGTAAAACAAATATTTTCCTTATACTTTGAATACATGCGAGTGTACACATCTTAATCATTTTCAAAAAGTTTTTAAAATAAAGCTTAAAAATGTTTTTACAAATATCATATCTTATATTAATGATTTAATTAATACATAATATGTTTTTATCAAAAACATGTTAAACATTTTTTAACACATTAATTGAAGAAAGAAAAGAAAAGAATGTCATATAATTGACTTAATTTCTAAATGACCCTAAACACATTTTATTTACTGCATTTGTGGCTTTGTTTGTTTTCTCTCTCTCTTGAATGCTTGTTTGAATTAAATGTGGATAAATGGACCGGTGGCAAGCGGTGATATTACCTTCAGTGCCTGGGAAACTGTACCAGTGGAGAACAATTCCAGAAACCAAAACCAGTAGAAACACAAAACTACTTTGTATTACTTGTAAGAGCTGGCAATGGAGCACTATCACACAATACAACTATCGTGCATCCCTATCATGTGTTAGTGAACTAATGAATATCTAAACCTGAATTAAATCAAGTTATTAAAGTATTAAAACCATCAAGAACGATCACTCCCTAGTGTGCGTTCTTAGACACAAACTACTTCTAGTTAATAAATTACCACAGTCCATGGCAATGCTCCATTACGAAACAGGATTGGGCTTTATCAATGTGGGCAAAAGGGTTTATTGTGAAAGAATGCATGGAGCATTTCATCGTTAAACAAAGCCACATCAAAAACTAGTCCACTAGGGTTAGTAGCTGAGTTAGTAACTGAGTGTTCTACTGTCCTCACACAAAAGATACATTAGCTGGAGGACCAACTGAATACAGTACCAAATTTAAGGAATGAGAGAGAAGAGATGGCCAGGAGAGGTTGGTCTGCTTTAAAGAAGATTTAATAAAAAACACATTCCGCATAAGCCAAATTACATACAGTAGGGTCCAATGTGATGATCCTGTTATCCAGCACAATTCAAGAATGTTCCAATAGAAGCAAGAACATCTGACCGTTTATACAAAGGGGTTGTAGTGACCTAATTGTGTAGAATCTTAAAAATGTGTTATTCATTTTACATCACATACACTCTTAAAAATAAAGGTGCTTCACGATGCCATAGAAGAACCTTTTTGTCTAAATGGTTCCATAAAGAACCTTTAACATCTGAAGAACCTTTCGGTTTCACAAAAGGTTCTTTGTGGCGAAAGAAGGTTCTTCAGATTATAAAAAGGTAAGAAAGTAAAGATGGTTCTTTAAAAAACCTTTGACTGAATGGTTCTTTGTGGAACCAAAAATGGTTCTTCTATGGCATCGCTTGAAGAACCTTTTGAAGCACCTTTATTTTTAAGAGTGTAGCTTTCTTTGTTTTTAACAAATTCCTAAAACTTTGTTTATTGCCAGCTTAAAATTAGATTTTGAATCCCAGATATTCAGTATGGTTTAGTTACTGTCTTCTCCAAACCAAAATAGTACAGTACAGCCTTCGTAATACCTCTAATTACAAAACTTTACTTAAATGACATCCAGGAATGCAACAAACTGCAACCTTGCAAAGTGCAAACTGAATTCATTTTAAATGGCTCAACCCCAATGAGTCGCTTAAAAATGAATGCATTAAATTACTGACAGCACAACATGTCAACTAATTTCTTCTTCTTATTAAAGACAGTTATGGAAAAAAAAAACACCTGGACCCTACTCACCTTGTTTGCACAATCCTCTATGTATCCCTCTGAAGGAGTGCGAGGCAGACTGGTACTGGACGCAGAACGGTCTTTTTCTCGCTCTCTCTCTTTTTCCCTCTCTCTGTCCCCAAACCAGGAAAATGGCATACAGGAAGGGATGGAAGAGATGGAGTCAGAGGGGGAAACATTGCTGCTGGACTCATCCAGTAACTCTCCCGATCCCCTGAGTTTGGACAACAAAGAACCCTTGCTAATGAAGCTAATTAAGTAATGGAGATAAACTGATCTATATCAGAGAAGACCAACAGATTTAAAGTGATTTTAAACGAATTAACTTCAGTTAATGTAGTAGGTTAATATTAGGACATTTAATATTCACACCTGCTCCCTACAGATCCTCTGAGTGTGATGCTCTCCCGTTTTTTGCCTTTGCCTCCAGATCTGCGGATACCACTACAGGGCAACACAAAAGAAAGAATGGTTTAAATTTTTGGGCATTATCTACTTGATTGAGGAAAAATAGTCAAGATTAAATTGTATTATACTACTGGGCTGCTGAATGCTTGAATCTGATTGGCTGACAAACATTCTACGGTGTGCAATTATTTTCAGGGAAACGCACGGATAAGGTAGTTCCAGGCAGGTCTTGACCGCATTATATGTCTATATCACTTTGCCAAATGATTTCAGTTATTTCAAAGGTCCTTTACAGCTTACAACAGCAAAAGAACCAGAACCCACAATGACACTGACAAGAAAATAAACAACAAGATAAAAATCAAAATGTTAAATTATTTCCGCGTTTTTGCCACAAAATATGTTAAATTATGTACGAAAGCACTACTCTCTTTCTCCCACTCTCTCTCCTTTACAGACACACACACATACGGACACACACTCGCACAGAAACGTGTTGTCAGCGTTGCTCTGATGATTTTAATCAGTAAAATAGTTTAGCAACTTAAAAGCTACATGACATTTCTCACAAGCTTGGTAATAACGGCGCTGTTCTTGAAGAAGATAAACTTACAGTTTTGCTATTAGTAGAGACACTGCTGCCGAACACTGTTGAGATGCGCAGATTCAGGTAATTCACACACTTAATCTCTCTCTCTCTCTCTCTGTAATAACTTCATTAATAATTGCATTACTATCAATGGCTCAAGCCTCCGTTACTAGGTCTAAAATGATGTTTTGGAATTAGCAACGGAAGCGTGGAATGAGATGTGTAAAATCCTACACACAAGACCGTTTTAAGGACAAAAACCTAACGAATGCCTTGAAATACAACATCAGGCAATGTCTTAGTATAAGTGGAATAATTGACTCCGGTCCATTGAATTATCAGAAAATAATGCACACCAGAGGTGTAATGGCCACTCTGCATCATCACCTTCTGTGTGCATTATATTCTAACAATTCAACGGCCCATCTTCAATTATTCCTTACGTAATATATTCTAAATTGTACTGAAAGTTGGGACTTCCAGTTTTATGATTTGTCCCATTCATTTTTTTTTCTACAAATGGTCCATCTCCTCTCATTGTAATGTCTCTGATATTGGCACACAAGAGGTAGTTGCTGGCCAGGCCATACCTGAAATCTGGGAATCGTCTTTTGGTCTTTCGCGTTGGTGAACCATCACTCTCTTCATCTGTAAAACAAAGGAGCAATTCAAAATCTTGTAAATTTCCTCATAGTCTTTTGACTGATACTGATGAGCCTGAGCAGGAAAACCAGTGGAAGTAGGAGATATAAATAAAAAGTACTTCAAGAAATCAGTTGTACCTCTGCTCGCTCTGCTTTTGCTGCGCTCCTTGCCTTTGCTCCTCCGGTTTCTCAGGTTTAGGAACATACTAGAGGAGGACTGTGAGGAGGATGGGGACTGGGGAGCGGAGGAGTCTTTAGGTGGAGACAGGCTGGTTTGTGTGCTGCTGCTTCCTTGGGGTGTTTGGCCCTGAATGAATACATCATCTCTGCTTTCACTTCTTGGTTCACGTGTATGGTCATGACCAAACTGTATAGATGGAACAGGTATGGCTAGGCTCTCGAGGTAAGACCGCCTTCTTTCACTGTTTGATCTTTCCTGTTTGTTGTCTTGAATGCACATAGATTCCTATAAAATAAGATAAAATTAAACTATGATTTCTTCAATCCAAATTGTTAGGCAAAACACACAGGATGGGGGTCAATATATTAAAGTGCAGGTCATATGGGTTTTTGAAAAATATCTCTTTTGCAGTTTATAACGTAGCTATCCTTAATTGAAAACAGTCTGCAAAGTTGTTAATCAAAAAAGTGCATGATAAATAATGATATTGTCTCTCAAAAGAGAGAGTCGATTCTGAGTTGCCTTAACGAGTCGTCATATTTTCGAATCTTTTGCCTGTTACCGGTATACGTCACTGGGTAACACATTTGCATAATCCCTGCCTGCCCGCGAAATACGAACAGAGTCTGACCTGCCCACAAACACTTCCGCTAGTTAGTGTGTTTACATCATGTTGAGAAGACGCTGTGTTCAAGGATACCACAGAAATACAATTCGAACCTTTTGTTGTATGCATGTCATTTTACCAAGGACTGCTTCTCTAATCTTGGCTTTTATCTTCTTAATTTGGACTAACAAGCTCTCCGAAGCACAGCCTGCAAGTACGATTGATACGTTATGTGTACATTTTCAATTGAGTTTTTGTGCTAATATGTGATGTCTAGTGCAGCTTTAGGTTTCCAGGTCAAGCACGATATTACTGTCTTACTGAAGTAGTTCTGATAATTCGCTGTGAACCCACTATTTCCTAAGAATGTGTCGATTAATGTAGACTGCGTTATTCTAATTACTTCGTTTAATAATAAAGAATGTAATGTAGCACACAGACTTTATAATCATTTTGAAATTGCTGTTTATTTTGCTGCACCGGCAGTTATAGGGTTAATGCGGGAGAGACGAGCGAGTTAGTTAGGCTGGTGCGCCTGTGATACAGCTGTTCTGCGTTCTGATTAAAAGTTAAGACAGCGTCTTTTGTCTGCCGTCCTTCATACATTACAGTAGACATATTTTGGTTTACAAACTGTATCGTTTCATCAGTTAGTCACGTTAGCACTCGGCTAACGTATCCACCATTATTGTTTTGTTCACAGTTTAGCAGCTAAACTTTAGCTGTGGGCACGATTCGCTTGCATAAGTGTTTTTGTATGTTATGTCATTATTATAAGAACGGATTGGAGCACTATATTATTGTTCTATGTAAAGGTGCTTTGTCAATGGTAGCGCTGGCTAACTTGCTCAAGGACTCCTCTCTGTGCCAATCACAGCAGGCTTGGCCAGCTGACCAATCAGAGCAGAGTAGGCTTATGGAAGGGAAGGGTTTGCTCCGAACTTGCTTCGAACGAACCGTTTAGAAATCATTGGCAAATGACTCTAATATTAAATGTATATTCTGAGAAAATTACAATGTTTTCTGACCTTAGATGCATTTAAACCTGTTGTAGAGGACTCCAACACAATATTAGGACATTTTTAAAATACCATATGACCTGCTCTTTAAACAAATGCTGTGTGTAAATACAATGAACACCCTGGAAGTTACAGAACAGCTAATGTCACTTGCAGAACCTTACATAAGTGTACCGTCCACATTCACTCATATACCCAGTGAAGTCACAACACAAAGTACTCACAAGATCAGTAGAGTGAAAAATAAATATAAAATTTATTCCAATTTTCAAAGTGTTAATATAGGCTTTTCTCAACACACCAATGAAAATCCAATAACT